TGGCTTAGTCGACTAAGCTGACGACTTAGTCGATGACTCAGTCAGTCGACTGTTAGTCGATCGGCTAACAACACTAGTGTACTGTATATACAGTCGTCCCCCATTAATATCAACCTATTTGGATCGCTTTTATATTCATGTTGATATGATATTAATGAGTGAACATATTTTAAGTTGATATATACGAGGGAGTTTTGATATATGGAAATTATGGACAACTGTATATATATATATATATTCTAAAATTCAGTGATTTAGATTTATAGAGATTAGGAGTTGAAATTAGAGATTTAAAACCCTGATTTTTTTAGTTTAATTTTATCTGTTGTATTTATTTATGTTTTTTCTTTTAAAGTCAATTTAACGTTGAAGTGCTACATAAATGACGATTGGCAACATGTCGTTTTTATAAAAATTTATGACTCCTTTATTTATCACTACCCTCGACAGCACACATTATCCTTATTCATTCACCGTAATAATTACTTTTCTGATTTGCTTCTTTGACCACATTAAATGTTACACGAGCAAGTAGTTTACTGATCATATACTGAATAAATATTAAACAGCAGGTCGCAATTATTTGGCATTTAATTAATTATAAATGTCGGGTGAGCATCGTTTAGGTAAAGAAAAATTTTAGGATACACATTTCACAATAACATATAGTAAGCTTAATAATCAATTTCACTAAAGTAAACCATTTGTTAATTTCAATAAAGCAAGAACAGCAAAGAAAAGAATATCATATTATCTTTAAAACTAACTAAAAAAAAGCTATTATATGATGTAAGCCACTAAGACAATCAAATTTACACATAATTGCAACTGTAGATTCATGAAAAATAATGGTTAGTCTATTATGACCTTCCCGAACCAACTTTGCATAATATTCACGTTACCAGCTTAATGAGCCGATCCGCGTTTCAATAATAATAGCTATCATTATGCCTGAAATTCATGATCATATGTGAGAAATAAAATGAACTACGTAGCTGTCTCTTTTTCCTCTACAGGTGCTTGAACACCATGAGGAGATCTGGATCGAGATTTAGGATGACCATTTACTTGTCCTGACCTTTTGCGGCGATCTGGTGGCGTACGAGACAATGACCTTGAGCGAGAACGGTATCGGCTAGAACGTTTTCTATCCTCTTCATTATCATATCTATCATATCTCCTATAATCCGACCTAGATCTGCTGCGATGTCGACTAGGGCTACGACTGTATCGTCTGATAAAGTATAAAATCTGCTGCATTGAATCTTTCCGTGTCAAATGAGTATTAGTTTATCTTGAAATCTTACCTCGGTCTATAAGAATTTTCCGGAGTGTATCGATTTCGCCTTGGTGGAGAATACCTATAAAAATGACATTAATAAATAAATCATCATTTTCTTTATTCTTCTTATATCAAATTACCTATTACTGTCTTTGCCTCTCATCTCCCTTGGAGCTGAAATTCATATTCGAGTTATAAATATAGACTCTTCAAATAACAACAAAATTTAATGGAAAACACCAACTCTTTCGAGATCCACGAGCAAATTCTACGGTTAATTCTCGACCATGTAGAAAGACAGTAGCTGCACGTCTGTATGCTTCTTCGCAGTCGCGTTCATCGTAGTATCTTGTTAAAAGGGAAGAAAAAACCGCGATTTCTTGTCAAGGACCGATGGAAAAGTCTTGAAAAAAAAAAAAAATTCTTTGGTGATAAAACTTGAATTCCCCCGGCAGACGTAACACTTTTGATCTTGCTTGAGAAGAAAAGTCTTTAAGGATACTCTATATACGCAAATCCTCTTGGCTCTCTTGTATAAAAGTCTTTTGGTATATATACTAAAAACGTTGATCAAAAAGTTATAAGTATTTGAACAGAATTTTAAATTTATCTTTAAAGTTAATTACCGTCTTTGAGTCGGCCAAATTCTTTGAAGATTGGTTCAAGGTCTTCAACACTTGTGATCGATCAACGGTTAGGAAAATCACTCGCCATTGAATAAACAATAAAGTTAATAAATCTTACGTTGTTCGGCGAGAAAGTCTAGAAACGAACAACGAACGGGACATTCTTTCACTGTGAGACATAGTGAGTCTATATTTCTAAACGTCAAAAACTTGAGTTGGATCATTAATCCGATTCGGCTTTTAAATCTTGTATGTCACACACATGTTTACAAGCATAGTTGATTAACCAATCAAATTATTAATTTGTTTTTTTTTAGTACACAGTCGCACTCACAGGAGGATCCCTAAATTTCCGGGTCGGAATGCATCGTGGGTTAGCGTTAGCTATACTGGTTAACAGAAGCTATATCAGCTGGGCATTTTTTACTTAATGAACGACTATGGTTCATTAGTAAAATTCTTATTGATCTTGGGCAAAATTGATCGATTCTGGCACATCCGATGTATTCCGACCCGGAATTTTTCTGTATGCACCTCCTATAAAGTACATCATCTTTAAAAGCACTTACTACGTGTAAAAATTACTCTCTACATAAGCATATTTTCTATATAAAAACCCTTTTTATAGGTCACAATGGTGTGATTATATGGAAGTGCGACTGTATATACAGTCAAATGCACCCCCCTCGGGAATAGAAGACAAATTTTTAAAAATGTTTATTTAGAGAGGGTGTTTATTTATAGAGAGAATTTTTACTATGTTTCTATATACTTGGGACCATACCAAAGTGTATTTAGAGAGAATTTATATAGTATGTAGAGTACAATTATATAGGTCTAACTATACTATACTGTATATTTTTTTATTTTTTTTTTAGTTGCTGTTTATTTAACTATTAAATTTTTATTTTTTATTATATATTATATATTATTATTTTAGTGTTAAGGTGATCCTATTAGCCGTTACTTTTTATTGGAGGTTAATCTTTAGTATAAATGGGTATATACTGTAGAATTATTATAAAATTATAATACAGTATATAAAATTAAGGATTTAAAATGGCTCAAAATGTATTATAATTATATATATATATAGTGCCTATCTATACTAAAAAAGATCCATAAAATTTGAAATTTTGATATGTTTTTTTATATAATATAAATTTTTAAACCAAAAAACTACAGTATAAACTATATAAAAACTTTATTTTCTTTTAAAAGTTATAAAAGTTTAAAATTTTATTGATAGCTTTATTAGTAAAAATTTTTTATTATATTTTTCTATTTTTAGTTAGTATCTTATATTTTTTTTTCTCTTTACGTACAATCAGTCTGCAAAGATAATAAAGCACATGCAGTTCATGTGCCACTACGTGATCCAAATCTTAGCGTTAGTCTTTTAATTTTGTTCATCTATTTTCGTTTTTTTTTTTGATTTCATTATGGCCGAAAACGTAGTCTACGAGGATACTCCTTTCGCTGAGTATCTTGCCGGTAAGTAATTTAATCTTTTTAAAGAGCGTTTCAAAAGTTCAAGTTTTTTAAAGTGTGCCTTATATTATTAATAGATATCGGTAGTGAAGAAGAGCTGATTAAACAACCTCTATTTGAATTAGAAAGAGATTCGCAAGCTAACAATGCCACATTGGTGTCACGATTTTCACAGTATATGTTAAACATGCTTAATTATATACAGGTATGACATATAAGGATCCTAAATACTACCAAGCTGGCAAAGTTTATGCTTTCAAATAAGAAGCAATTTTATTATTTTAGGAAATATTATCAACGGCACTTCCTTTACAAGAAGAAAACGAATTCGAAGAACGGTTTAAATATTTATTATGCACATCGCACCTTTTGAACGACACATTATCGGTCTACTTCTATGATAGTAAGAAACCTAAACCAATAGACGTCAGTGATGCTGGATTGTATTTTGGCGGAATTTCGCGTCGAAATTTTGAAATTTTGTTGAGCTCCATAATCGGCGTAATCGTCGTCATCCTAACTTGGTTATTGCACGGTACAGATTCCAAAGATATTGGTACAAAGATGATGCAATTACCAGCTGCATTTGCTTTGGCATTGTGTTGTACCTTTTTCTTATATCGTCACATGGTAATTATCTCTGATTAATCACCGCTTTCCAATCTACATTAATTGTTATATTAATCTTTTTAGTTATTAAATTTAGCGACGAAAAGCTACAAAAACATTGTATAAATCAGCATTATACTATTTAGAAAAACTTGTATATAATTGTCAAATTTTCGATATAAAATTAAATAAAGCGTTAATAATGATCCAAGAAATTGAACTCGTATCCCGTGGCTACAGATTGTAAGTCGTTAATTTACTTCAATTCTATCTGATTTTGAAATTTTCTTATTCCTTAATTAAAATAATCAAATTTAATATATGTTAACAGGTCCATGCCTCTTTCTCCAATATCCCGTATCGAACAAACTTCAAAAAATCGTCGCTGTGGTATGCTTAGAGAAATTGTTTATAACATACTTCAGGAGGCTTTCATAAGTTATCATGATGCTATGATTGCAATGAATTCTGAGATTTTAAAAGAAAATTTGGCCATTATGTACAATATGTACAATATAATTCCTCGTCCAGAAGGTGATGAATGGGATTCAAAAGAAGAAGACATTCTTGCTTTAGAGCATTTGAAACATTGTTTTCAGAAAGTGCATACAAAACGTCGAGAGTTGTTGTGCCATTTCCTCGCACTGGATGTAATGACGCCTGGAAGAGATTCTGGACGGAGAGATTATGAACATCATTGGGCAACAGTAAATGAGCATCTGGACAATTTAGGGACAATTACAGGACTTTATCTAGACAAAATTATTGCGGCAACTGCTAATGAACTATGTAAATTTTTGATTTTTTTTTTTTTATATTCTTAACATAATATGAAGATATATTTAAAAATGTACTGTATGCCATTTCAGCTCCTAAACAAGACTTTTTGTCTCAGCAAGCTTCGCAAACGATTACGAATAAACAGCTTATGACCTATCTTCATCGTTTAGCTTCTATTGAACATCATATTCGTGGTGTTCAGGCAAAATTATATATTTGCAATGAAGATGCGCGTAAATATTATGAAACTGAAGGTACCTGAAATCATAATATTTTATAAATGGCTTTCAATAATTGATTGTAACTAATATTCTTATCGTAACAGAAGTTGTAGTCTCTGAGGACGAAAGAAAACATTTAATGAACCAATATGAATCTATAAGCAAAGATTTTACCTACATGTTCCAAGAATGGGAAGACGGAAAAAAAGCCTTAAAGGACGTAATGGAACCAATGCAAATAGATTCAGATTTAAGCAACAGCCGTCAATCTATTGAAGAAGACGCCGAAACTTTAAAGGATGAGAATGATCAGGAAGAGGATCCCACCGAAAAAACGCACACAATTGACTGGTCATGCACAGATGAACCTTTGGATGTATTGGAACAAGTATTTGAAGCTGAAGCTGAAATTGAAATTGAAGTCGAATCCGCTACGAAAGTAAGGACAACTTAAATGTCGCAACTTTCTAAGCTTTTGTAAATTTAAAAAATATTTATGTTTAAACATTAGAAGCCGACAAGAGAAGAAAGGATTGCAATACAAAAAGCTAAGAGAGTCGAGGAGGTATGTTTAACTGCATTTAATTGACTTATTTATTTTATTCTTTACCGACTATTGGTCATTATAAACTTTAAAAACAGGCCAAATCAAAAGAAGTACTTTCAAATTCTGAACGTATGGTATATGAATTAAAAGATGTTTTAGGACGACGGAAGCCATTGCATTCGGGAGATGATCGTTCACAACCCACTTTAGAAGAATCTGATTCAATACAAACGAATCTCGAGCTACTATCATAGCCAATTAAAAAATTGTTTTTTTTTATTAATGCATTTTTCTTTTTAATAGTCGCTGGTCGCTAACAAAACATTTAATTAATTATAGACATTTACACATATTTAAGTTAGAAATGATAAAAAAAACGTTGAATTTCGATATTATTTAAGGCCTTTTTGGTCTTTTTATTGTATCATAGATTAGCAGTTCACGGAATATTTAATTTTAAACTGACAATTCTGAATAGTGTATAAATAAGAAAATAAATCAAAAAAAAAAAAGAAAATCATCAACATTATAACAGTAATTTAACGCTAATCCGAGTATAATGACATGATTGAGGTTTTTTGGTTGACCCGCAACAATCCAATTAGCGAAATTAGTACATCATTCATAGCATTAATAGACCTTTTTAACTTGGTCATGTGATGTTAAAGACATCAAAAAAAAAAAAATTAATGTTGTTGGAATCATCTTGATCTAAATTTGTGAGTGATTAAGATGAGCAATTGGGTAAGAGCCAATTGAGGGATCATTTAAAGCATAGTTATACAATTTTTGCTACCATTATTTAATTTACAGTATTATTAGTTATAACGGTTTTTTTACTTTTGCTATTTCGGATTTATTATAATTATAACCGAAATCGACTAGTCAACTTTACATATATATTGTCATAGTTCTAATCATTATCTCATAACTCTGATAATTATAGTTATCATATTGTAGTTTTAATAACAATATATTGCTTGTAAATATTTAATCAACTAGTCGACTTTAGTTTATTATATCGACTAAATAAAGTCGACTCTTTAATTCAATTACTTAGTCCAGTAGTCTAACTCGTTAAAAATTTTTGCTAAAGTTTTGTTATTAGATTAGGTTTTATTAATATATACCAAAAATCGCAAGAAAACAATTTAGTGCGTAAAAGGCAGTTCCAGATAAAGGTCTAATCTAAGTATTCGAAATTCATTCGTTCAATCTTTTCAATATCCGAATATTCATCAAATTTCAAATGAGTATTCGAATATTCACTGAATATTCATTGAATACAGTATAACCTCGATATCGATATAACGATAACGAAGATTATTTCTAATTTTTATATTTAAATTAGCCCCGATATAACGAAACTACTAATAAAGTTTTGATATAACGAAGCAAAACCTCCTTCGTTATATCGAGGTTATACTGTATTCGGATATACTATTATTCATCGGATCAAACCTCTAGCTCCAGAGGTAAAATGTTATGATCGATTTTTGGTTGCGTTCTTTTTGTCACACTTCAAATTTGAT